GCATCAAAAACATAAGATAGAGTTGAGCAGCTGTAACAGAAACCACGCAGCTCACAAAGTATAAAATATTACTATCTAGACCTTCATAGAAAAAGTCGTCAGACCCTTGCCCTACAGCCAAACTCTTTCTACCAAAAAAGAAAACATACCCAATAATTACACACAAAAACTCATTTGCTTTTCCCTCTCTAATATTTATGTTTATAAATATATACATTAACTTTTATATTACATTGGACACTTAAAAAATTTAGTGACGCCTGGGACTTCCCTGGTGGTGCAGTGGTTAAGAATATGCCTGCCGGGCTTCCCTGGTGGCGCAGTGGTTGAGAGTCCGCCTGCCGATGCAGGGGACACGGGTTTGTGCCCCGGTCTGGGAAGATCCCACATGCCGCGGAGCGGCTAGGCCCGTGAGCCATGGCCGCTGAGCCTGCGAATCTGGAGCCTGTGCTCCACAATGGGAGAGGCCACAACAGTGAGAGGCCTGCGTACCGAAGAAAAAAAAAGAAAGAATATGCCTGCCAATGCAGCGGACAGGGGTTCAAGCCCTGGTCGGGAAAGATCCCACATGCTGTGGAGCAACTAAGCCCGTGAGCCACAACTACTGAGCCTGAGCGCCACAACTACTGAGCCTACATGCCACAACTACTGAAGCCCACGTGCCTAGAGCCCATGCTCCACAACAAGAGAAGCCACCGCAATGAAAAGTCCACACACTACAATGAAGAGTAGCTCCCACTCACCACAACTAGAGAAAACCTGCGTGCAGCAACAAAGACCCAAAGCAGCCATAAATAAATTAATTAAACAAACAAACAAACAAATTTGTTTTAAAAAGTTTTAGTGACTCTTGTTGAAAATGATTCATGTGCCACTGACCTCTGATACATACTTTTCTTTATCTGGAATATTTTTTATTTTTAAAGGTAAATTTTCTTTCACCAATAGCAACCAGTGTTTGCAGTTTTTACATCCTGCAGATATGACACGTTTTTGAAAAGAAATGCTATGTTAGAATAAAAACTAACAATTTAGAAATCAGGTTTGGTTCAGGAACAAGCAAATTTCAGTCAAGCTTAACACTTGGTGGGAAATGATGGCTGATAGTTAATTCAGACACAGTGATTTAATAACTAAAGATAAAATCAGTTAATATTGTTTTAAAAATAGGGAAATTAGGCACTGAACAGAAGACTGATCCAAAAGACGTGGATATAGATTTACATATAAAATCAACAGCTTAAAAAATATATATAAAAATACATTTGTATGGTAGGTAAGATTGACAAGACATTATTTTTTTCAGGAAGTCTTCTTTAATTCTTCCGAGTTATGTGCCCTCCTATGTGTTTTCATAGCACCCTTCATTTTCCTTAATCTAGCACTTACCATGCTGCATCATAAATGCTTATAATCTTTTTTTTAAGCATTTTTAAAATATTTATTTATTTGGCTGCACCAGGTCTTAGTTGCGGCACTCGGGATTTTCGTTGCGGCACACGGGATCTTTAGTTGCAGCATGTGGGATCTAGTTCCCTTACCAGGGATTGAATTCAGGCCCCTGCACTGGGAGCGTGGAGTCTTAGCCACTGGACCACCAGGGAAGTCCCTACATTTATCATCTTAACAAGGGCAGAAATCACATCTTTTCCTTGTCACTGCATCACTACTGTTTAGTACCATGATAAGCACATAATAGGCACTCAGTAAATATCTGTAAAATGAATAAAAAAGAAATCATATGGTAGAAGTTCAAAACAACCTATACAATCAGTGTTACTGCCCAAAATGTACAAAATAAAATCTATGTATGTTTGATCATAACATTTCGCATTTTAATTACAATTTAGTATTCTAATTTATAAACGTGAGTTCAGAGGAGGAATATGGTAGTATACATATGTCTTATATGTTTGGGTTTATTTAAGGGTTCCTTGCAAAAAAAAAGGGGGGGTTGAAAATCACTGACTTAGAAGATTAACATGATACGTAGCACTTAGGCTAGTCAAAGTAAGTCTTTTCTTTTGTCATTCTTAATATTTCTATAAGGTACTGTGTGAAAACTCAGAAACTACTAAATAACACAATTACTTGCCAGCAAACTCATTTACGTGGTAATACATCCATTCCTGACAGCAGGTACCAAAATTATCTTTCTTGTGATGCCATTTGGAGCACTGTGAATAATTTCTAATTCAAAGCTTCCCAAAGGACATGTCATAAGGGAGAAACAAGTCATTCATATATCCTGAAATGATCAGGAAATAGAGTCCAGTTCTATAGTTCCTAATCCTGCTCCAGGATTAGGTCAAGAAGGAAATTGTGTGAGAAACTTTTCCTAATTCTTAACCATGGAGCAGAGAGAAGAAATATATACAGTTGTCAGACATAAGGTGTCTTCAAAAACACAAATCTCTGATTAGCAATTTAGGTTCCACTAAAGATGAAAATGAATCATCTCTGATAGTGAATATCCACAGTTATCTGTGACAGATTAGGATCAAGTAAAGTTTTCTCCAATGTAAGAGGTAAAAGAAAGATAAATGATTGTCCAAAGGACTCCCAGTAAGAGATGCTTATGAAACTGATACCATTATTACCCTGCTTTTGAGTATTTAACAACTTCAAACAGGAACTCAGTTTCCTCATGACCAAATGAATCAAGATAAAAGTAGCAATTTCCCATCCAAATGGTGGTGGTGATAACAAAATCTCTGAATGTATAATAATTATACATATTACGTAATCTAAACAATACATCAATCCTGGGAAACCATCAGGCCATTATTTCAATCCTTATTTTATAGATGATTCTCCATTTGCATATGTGATAAAGACAAAGACTTGTTCAAAATCACACTGATAAGAAGCAGCACAGATCGAGTTAGAATTTTTTTTTTTTTTTTTTGCAGTACGCGGGCCTCTCACTGCTGTGGCCTCTCCCACTGCGGAGCACAGGCTCCTGACACACAGGCTCAGCGGCCATGGCCCACGGACCCAGCTGCTCCGCGGCACGTGGGATCCTCCCGGACCGGGGCACGAACCCGTGTCCCCTGCATCGGCAGGCGGACTCTCAACCACTGTGCCACCAGGGAAGCCCCATGGTCTTTTTTTAACAATACAATGCTATCTGTAATCTGGAAGTATAAGCCTCTAGATCTAGGGACATAAAATAAAAGCAAAGAACCATCTAAACATATTATATTACTATATCTGCTGATACAGAAGTACATTAGAAACAGCAGGGACTTTGGAAGTCGATTTGGATTTGTATTTCAACTCTGCTACTTACTGGTTTATGACCATTGATATTCAGATTAAGGGTCAAAATATAACTGTAAAGAGTTTAAAAAGTTAAATGAGGGATATACGTAAAGTGCTCACACGAATTAGTGTACGATGGAGGTTTCTAACCTTGGCCACTGTTACATTATTTTCCTTTCCCTTTCAGCTAGGAATAATTTAGGATCCTTGTTCTAGCATGGCTCCATCAAAAAGGTCTCTGGAGATGGAACCCCATAAGGTTCTCCTCAACAGAGACTGAGGCTTCTGAGCCAGGCACATAAATTACTTGCTCAAGTTCTGTCTGTAATTATGAAAGACAAAAGGTTCAATTTCCTCCTCCACTTCTCCTTCCCTCACTTTCATTTGTAGAAAAAGACACAGCTAAGGGAAAAAAGAATTTTTTTAAGAGGTAATGCAGATAAGAAAGGGGGGGGGATGAATAATTATTTGGGAAGAGGGTCCTGCTGACAAAGGATGGTTCACTGAAGTAGTAGGAAAAGAGAATCCAGAGGAAAGAAAGAATCTAATCAACCTCTTGAATCCTAGACAAAAGGCATAAAGAAAAGTAGAGACCCATTCCATAACAACAGAAGATCTTAACAGCAGTTTACTGCAGAATCCAGTTAACCCTAAAGTGCTGCAAGAAAGCCTTGGACTGGGAAAGGCAAACATAAGAATGACTTATTTCCCCCTATGAAAAAAATGGCTATCATATCTTCAGTTATAATAAGAGAAATGACTTGTTTTTCTAGAGAGCTTAGACATACTAAATACAAAAGAAAAAAGTTCAAGAAGTAGTTGAGAAAGTACCCAGGAACTTCATTAAAAGAATAAAAAGGAAAAAATTAATGGTCCATAAGAGTTCTTTCTTACAGAGAACAGAAGGACTTATCTCCTTTACCCTTTATCATTTACCTTAGTACCAGGCAAGAAGGGTGTGAAAACACTAAAGAAGCTGTTAAGGGGAGGAAACTAAAGATTAATGGTTCATATGGGTTTTTCAGTCATTCTAGAGGCTAGAAACATATCCTTCTCCCTTAGGTCATGTCTCCCAAAATAGCATCTTAAAAATACCAAATGGCACAACAGAGATATACCTACCAGCTGTCAGGGATGTCTCAAATCCATCTTTAATTAAACAGCTGAGACTCTACTTCTTCATATAACTTTGAACTGCTACAAGTGTAAAGGGGACTATTTCTTCCACTGGGAAGAAGGGCAGGAAAGAACAATAGGCAAATTAATGAATTATATATGGTTTCAATTTCAAGTTAGTCATCTGTTTCAAAGGTTGTACTTTGATTGAAGCTATTAGTACCCAACAGCAAAAGGAACGTGAGTTTAAATGTTCAAAATCACAACTAGGATGTAATCTCGTTCATATTATAACCATCAATAAATAACAAAAAGCGTATTATTTAAACTAACAAATCATGTTCTTCAAATAAAACATAAGGAGAATCTAATTCATTAGTATGCTATTGTTCTGCCCAACTACAGACAAGTTATCCATAAACGCCTAACAAAGTCAAATAAGACCAAAGCTCTAAAGCATAGATATATTCTTTCTTTTAAAGGAAAATTTAGATAACTTCTCCAAATTCCTATATCTTTTATGTCAATCTAATTCTGTAATATATTCATGTTAAAATAAACATCATCAGTTTGTTAGTGGCAATGGGGAGAGAGGAAAATAAACGGACTATTGGACATACCCTATGTAATATTTCTAAAACCTTTAATGCGGTATGAAGAAAACTGTTGAAAATTCTTCTTTCAGAAGGGGGAATGCCGATCTTGTAGAGTTTCAAAAGATGTACCACAACCTCCTTAAAAAGTTCTACAATCTTGAGGAATAGTGGAGGTTCAAGTACTGACCACCAGTTTTCTGTTATTAAAGGGTGAACACACAAAATAAAATTTAAAAAGTCACAATTTTCAAAATCATACTGACTGTTTTTCGAAAGCAGTGGCTCTTAACCCTTTGAAAACCTCAGGAAGATACACATAATATGGTATTTTACGTAACATTTCTAGGGTTTATAGATACCACCCCACCCTCAAGTTAAAGAATACGGTTCTAAAAGCTCTCAAAAGCAAAAATAAAGTTAGAAAGGTCTATTGAATTTACATTCTTGGTTTCCTAAGCTACATTAAAAACTTAATACCTAGTACTAAAACCACTTGTTAAAAAAAGTGCTTTGGAAGTTAGGATTTTAATTTTTAAACAAAACACTTTTAAAACTGTATTGCTCCAATATTTAAAGATCTCTCCAACTTTTATCTTTCAACTTACGTAACATAAAGTTGAAATATTGTGAAGCACCATCCTAAAAATGCAAGGTACTCCTGAAAATCAAATACAGAAACTGAACAATGTAAAGTATACCATGTCTGTCCTTCCCCACATTCACTATTTGTAGTTATTAACTACAAATATGACAATCTTATGCAGCAGACAGAAGGGAATACAAAAACTTCTGACAACATGGAAGCAATATGCTTTTGAGTCCCTGCTTCACTCTTCTAACCACTGGCTAATTCCCTCAGATTCCAGGATTCTACCCCTTGCTTGTTGCTTCCTCTGCTCACCCTCAGCCTAAAACTTCTTGTACTGATTTTATTACTCTTATGTATCTCAGATTCACATACCTAACAAATACTATTAAGAAGGAAAGCACTGCTACTAAATGTAGCAGGCAAACTATAATGGTCAGCAGATAGAGATGAAATTATACAATTAGAAAAATTAAAGTTAGGAAAGTTTAGGCCAAAAACCCAGAGAAATAAGATCAAATAAACAGTGGAATCTCACCTACATGCACAGACATCAGAAAATTAGCAAGTGAGGGAAATACAAGGCAAAGGGTTAATAAAGTTCAAGGAGGATTTAATACCCATGTTTGTTCAGTTTTAATTGCTCCTCCTCCTTTACTTCTTTAACAGTAAGATGACTCTGGAGGGGATGAGGAAGGCGAATACCAAAAACAGTTTTTATCTTTCCCGATACTGTCTCTGCTGTTGTGCTTGATTAAAATTTTAATATTTAACATGCTTTGCCTCCAACTCTAACAACTAGCATCAGATGACTAGCAAAAAGCAACAAACTGAAAAACAGGTTTATCTCACCTTAAGACAATGTCAAAATAAGCACGGTAGCAAAATTTCAAACAGCAAAGAAGTTATGAGCATTTTCATTTAAAGAGAAAAGGTTGTAAAAAAAAAAAAAAGAGTATTAAAATTCTTACCAAGTACTTTCAGTGGTGCCTTTTCTAGGTTCACAAGAGCTGTACCAAAGGGAATTGCTATTGTGGTGAAATTGTTGGAATCACTCATCAGGGGACATTCTGGTAGAGTAAGATAAAATCTCAATGCTTCAACATCAGGTAAGGAGCTAGTCAGTTTAGGAATAAGATTCTTTTCCAAGCTAGCTGCCACCTATATTTTGACAAAAAGTAAAACCTACTTCATTTAAAATGAATGCATATTCCAAAAAAGGAAAGAAAAAGAAAACCTTATACTACAGCAAACGTGAAACGGTGAAGGGAAAAAAAAAAAAAAAAGAAACCATCTTACAATGAATTAATGAATGCACTTTGGAGCACAATGAAAATTAATGCCTAAGCAGTGCTAAGAGAATTTTAAAAATCTTGCATACAAGATTTTTATTTATATCTCAATTTAAACTCTACATCTATAGTTATACAGACTTAACCAACATGGTAATATTAAGTAATTAAGAGTCTGCTCTGAACATCTGGAAAGATTTACAGATATTTGACAGCTAAATTACAAACAGTTTAAAATAATACCCTATTTTAATTCTTACATTAGTATATTAAATAAAATTATACAGACATCTCAATAAAGTGTATGAAACTGTAAAGTTAATTAGGTCACAAACATATAAAAAAACATGGAATAAAAAACTCAACAGGCTACATAATACAAATATAAAATGCTTTAAAAACAAACCTGCTGAGATATCTGAGGATGATCAGATTGTATAAGTTTGTGGAATAAAAGCCTAGCAGCATTCATATCAACCCCTGAAAATCTGGTGCCCGTTCTATAGTGATCATCATTGCTATTTAAAAAAGAGAGAGAGAGAGAGAGAGAAAATAATAAAATGCAACTTTAAAATTTTTTCACTTCTTTTTAACGACATTATTTAATATAATAAATTTGAAAAATTTGGTATACCAAAGAATTGTCACTCACCTAACAGCTAAAAAACTTCCATTTAGACAACCAGACGAAGAAAACGTTCCATCTATTTCACTAAAAAGAAATTTAAAAATCACAAAATCACAAAATGAGAAATCTAATTGTTCACCTTTGGTGGTTTTTTTTTTTTAGATCTTAATTGGAGTATAATTGCTTCACAATACTGTCTTAGTTTCTGTTGCACAACAAAGCGAATCAGCCATATGCATACACATGTCCCCATAACCCCTCCCTCTTAAGCCTCCCTCCCATCCTCCCTATTCCACCCCTCTAGGTCATTGCAAAGCACCAAGCCAATCTCCCTGTGCTATGCTGCTGCTGCTTCCCACCAGCCAACTATTTTACATTCGGTAGCGTATATATGTCAATGCTACTCTCACTTCACCCCAGCTTCCCCCTCCCACCCCATGTCCTCAAGTCCATTCTGTATGTCTATCTCTTTATTCCTGCCCTGCAACTAGGTTCATCCGTACCCTTTATTTTATTTTATTTTTTAGATTCCGCGTATATACATTAGCATACGGTATTTGTTTTTCTCTTTCTGACTTACTTCACTCTGTATGACAGACTCTAGGTCCATCCACCTCACTACAAATAACTCAATTTTGTTCCTTTTTATGGCTGAGTAATATTCCATTGTATATAGTGCCACATCTTCTTTATCCATTCATCCCCTTTATTTTTTAATAAAAAATAAAATCACCTTTTATTTATTTTTTATGTGGATAAAATCCACATCACCTTTATTATTTAATAAAAAATAAAATGTAGTGTTTAATGCTACAGAGCATTCCTCCAACCAACATTCAAAATAAATCAGAATTCTATAAATTACTAAAGATTAAGTAAATCTTGATAAAGGTATTACTGTTTATCTCTTTATTACTCTCTCAAACATTACTACTGTCCTCTGATTCATCAAATAAATCTGATGTTCCTAAAAATTTTTTTTTTGTTATCTAAAAAATTTTTTTATATAAACATGCACATTTAACTTTCTTAATTCCACATGATGGTAAATCTAATCTGGAATGTTATTTTTCTGAAGACTACACTTCAGGCTTTTAAGAAAAACTTTAGTTTGGGAAAATAATTTCGAATTAAAAAAACAGCTGATCAGCTATAGCCCCTCATCCCAAATACCTACACTACCTTCAACAACAACAACAAAAACTTTAAGTACTAAACAAGTCCATCTTCAAGAAAAATATTCAAGAAAGAAGAAATACTCAACTCTTCCATGGAATAAAGAAGTTAAAAGACAGTGACCACTATGAAGCTAGAAGGAACATTTTTGCAAACCCAATCCTAAAGTGGCTATATTTAATATTTTAAGTTATCATTTAATATATCATTATGTATATGAAAGAATTGTAACTTATAAACATCTACATGAGATCTCCTAAAATATCCACTATTACAGAAATTCTAGACAATTAAACTTTTGTATATAAACCATTCTGTAAATGATATTTAATGAAATATTTATTTAAATAAAAACCCCTAAGTACAGGATCCTCTACCATGAAGTTAAGACTTTGTGTAGATAAAATATTTTTCTTACTTGGCTATCTCTACAGGAAATCTTCCAGAGGGGTAGCTCAGCCATTTTTGAATTAGAGCTTCATTCACAGTCCATATCTGCTTCGAAGGATCAGGATATCTAAAGTCATCTGGTGGCCCACAGTTCTAAATTTTAAAATAAGCAGATGAGTCAGAGGGAAGAGATATTATATATAAACCAAGACACACCTCCACTATGTATCTGGAAGTTAATCTCTACTAAACACCTGGAACAAAAACTTATCAAATGGGGACTTCCCTGGTGGCGCAGTGGTTAGGAATCCGCCTGCCAATGCAGGGCACACAGTCTCGGGCCCTGGTCCGGGAAGATCCCACATGCTGCGGAGCAACTAAGTCCGTGTGCCACAACTACTGAGACTGTGCTCTAGAGCCCACAAGCCACAAATATTGAAGCCCGCGCACCTAGAGCCCATGCTCTGCAACAAAGAGAAGCCAACGCAATGAGAAGCCTGTGCACCACAATGAAGAGTAGCCCCACTCGCTGCAACTAGAGAAAGCCCATGTGCAGCAACAAAGCCCCAAAGCAGCCAAAAATAAATAAAGAAATAAATTTAAAAAAAAACTTATCAAAAAAAACCAACTTATCAAATGGATCTGAAAAATTTTGTAGACTTGAGGAAAAAAAATTAAGGCAATTACTTTGTAACATATAAAGAACATTAATATGGGTTTAAAAACAACTTCTAAATTATCTGAGCTTAGTAATTATTTATATGATTACTATTACCTGGGGATTAGAGTAATGTGAAAAGCTTTGATCTCCACCTGAGAAAATTCTTTTTACACAGAAATATTCTTCAGAATCTGTAATAAAAATAAAATATAAAACATTCAAGATTTATATGCATTTTTCAGAGCATCAAATATGCTACTGGACTTTCTCTTAATCATCTAACTTAATGAGACCTCCCAATCATGGGCTCAATGATACAAAATGACTGGGAATGGTCTGACTGCTATGGAGATGAGACTGACCAAGTGACAAATGTTAATGATCCCACAAGCACAACAAGCATTTGATAAGTTTTACAAGTCTTTCTTTTGACCTGCTCACCAAAAAATGGCAGTTTCTAGTCTAGATCTTTATTATCTCAATATATTTTAAACTAAGATGGTGTAAAATCTGAATGAAAGGTATAGAAGATAGCTCAGAAGAAAATAAAAATTAAGAATATTCATTTTGGGGAATTCCCTGGTGGTCCAGTGGTTAGGACTTGGAGTTTTCACTGCTTGTGGCCTGGGTTCAATCCCTGGTTGGGCAACTAAGATCCCATAAGCCTCGCAGGGTACAGCCAAAAAAAAAGGAATATTTACTTTTAAAAAGAATGACAACAAACAAGTATATGTTAAATCTTCCTGAGTAATGCAAAATTCATAATGTAAAATTATTTTCTCTTTCAATATAGCTGTACAAAAGAAAGATGACACACATAGCTCTTTGTTAACAACTATTTATCAGTAACACCCAAATCAGGTCCAAAAACAAAAAAGTTAATACGCAAATTTAGTAGAAGTAAAGAAGGAACAATAAAGCGCCTTTTTTTCAAGTTTTGTGTTTTATTGTGATGTTTATTTTTCTTTAAAAGTTTGTTTCTTTTTTTTTTAACATCTTTATTGCCGTATAATTGCTTTACAATGTTGTGTTAGTTTCTGCTGTATAACAAAGTGAATCAGCTATATGTATACATATATCCCCATATCCTCTCCCACTTGCATCTCCCTCCCACCCTTCCCTATCCCACCCCTCTAGGAGGTCACAAAGCATGGAGCTGATCGCCCTGTGAGATGCAGCTGCTTCCCACTAGGTATCTATTTTACATTTGGTAGTATATATATGTCAATGCCACTCTCTCACTTCGTCCCAGCTTACCCTTCCCCCTCCCAGTGTCCTCAAGTCCATTCTCTACGTCTGTGTCTTTATTCCTGTCCTGCCCCTAGGTTCTTCAGAACCTTTTTTTTTTTGGATTCCATATATATGTGTTAGCATACGGTATTTGTTTTTCTCTTTCTGACTTACTTCACTCTGTATGACAGACTCTAGGTCCATCCACCTCACTACAAATAACTCAATTTCGTTTCAGTAAAGTGCCTTTTTAAAAAGACATTCAAAGCCTCTTCCTTTTTCTCCTCTCCTGTACCTCAAAATGGAAAGAGTATCTATTATCAAAAATACCGCTAGCCTAGTATTTAGAAGTATCACATACTTCTAGCCTAGTATTTAGAAGTATCACATACCAAAACACCATAGCTACACAATGTAACTTAAGGCCAGTTATTTCCAAATATAATCCATTTCTGTGTTCCTACTGCTGACCCCCCACTCTTTAGTTGACTAATTCTTTTTTTTTTAAATATAAATTTATTTATTTTTGGCTGCGTTGGGTCTTCGTTGCTGTGCGTGGGCTTTCTCTAGTTGCGGGGAGCAGGGGCTACTCTTCACTGCGGTGCGCAGGCTTCTCATTGCAGTGGAACACAGGCTCTAGGTGCACGGGCTTCAGTAGTTGTGGCACACAGGCTCAGTAGTTGTGGCTTGTGGACTCTACAGAGCGTGGGCTCAGCAGTTGTGGCGCACTGGTTTAGATACTCCGCAGCATGTGGGATCTTCCCGGACCAGGGCTTGAACCCGTGTCCCCTGCATTGGCAGGTGGATTCTTAACCACTGTGCCACTAGGGAAGCCTAGTTGACTAGTTCTTCACCTTGTATTATTTGTGACCACCACTGCTACAGAATTATAAATTCTTAAGGAAGGGACCACATCTTAATTTTCTTGATCATTCCCTACTACCAAGCACAATGTTTTATTTGTAAAAGAACTCAGTAAATATTTAATATGAATATATAATATAAAAAATTATCTAGCTTAGATAATAATAAGAGCTTCAGAGATCAGAACATTAATATGACCAAATTTTCCACAACAGGACTGCTCTATGGCCAAAAATTTTTAAGAACAGATTAAAAGGGTAAATCTAAAATATTAAATAAACCAATCATTCAACTTAAAATCTTTTCTCTACATCATCCTCACAAGTCTACATGAAGTCATGCACTTCCTCAAAAGATTGAGCAGAATGTTATTCATTTGTTCCTAAAAGGTGATTCTGCCTTCTTTAAATAATCATCAAGTAAATGATGACTAATCTATAGTACATGAATGGGTTTCTGGGGGCTGTGAGTAGGGCACCAAAAATTATTTTCCTTAATTTCCTTTTAATTACTACTGTAAAGAAGTCTGTGAAACCTAGTCATTTGTCCTACACAGCTTCCTGCAGATTGGATTTTGCTGATTATATCCTCAAGGATTCTCCTAACACTTCTCTCAGTCTTCTGTATTTCCTGTAAATTGGTAGTTGGATCTAGAGAGGCGTTAATTAGATTAGTCAATTTTTTTTTAAGAAGATGTTGGGGGTAGGAGTTTATTAATTAATTTATTTATTTTTGCTGTGTTGGGTCTTCATTTCTGTGCGAGGGCTTTTCTCTAGTTGTGGCAAGCGGGGGCCACTCTTCATCAGGGTGCATGGGCCTCTCACTATCGCGGCCTCTTTTGTTGAGGAGCACAGGCTCCAGACGCACAGGCTCAGTAGTTGTGGCTCACGGGCCTAGTTGCTCTGCGGCATGTGGGATCCTCCCAGACCAGGGCTCGAACCTGTGTCCCCTGCATTAGCAGGCAGATTCTCAACCACTGCGCCACCAGGGAAGCCCCAATCAGTCAATTATTTTGACAAAACTATTACATGGTGGTGGAAGGGGCTGTTCTTCCATCAGTAAGCACATAACGTATAGCTGGGTTCCTTTTTGTGACGTTAGTAACCATTGATTTCCAATGCTTAGACCATTAATTCATTGTGGGTTGAAAAATGATACACTAATATTACTTCCTCATCTTGTGGTTGGACCATTAGCTTCCCCCTATCTACCACATAGTTCATTAACCTGTAATAGGAAAGACTAATGCTGTTCTTTTCCATTTATTTACTATCGTCTGGCTTTTTGAATCTGCATTTATTTGATTATAATATTTACATGTTTCTTAGTAACATGGATTTCCTCAATGGGAATTTCCGTTAACTTCCTTTATCTATTACATGTCTAAATGTTTGTCTTATTCATTTATTAGGTGTCTTACTGTTTTTCACACCAATATGTATGAGTACTTTGGATATTCAGGCTACTAACCTCAGGTTATATTCGTTACAAACATTTTTTCTAAATAATTATTTAATTTTGACTCACAAGTTTCTTTTTCTATTAAATCAAATGTATTTATCTCATTCTTTTTTTTTTTTAAAGAGGAAGTGGGTTTCTTTATAAAAAATATTTATTTATTTGGCTGCATTGGGTCTTAGTTGTAGCACACAGGATCTTCGCTGCAGCGTGTGGGATCTAGTTCCCTGACCAGGGATTGAACCCAGGCCCCCTGCGCTGGAAGCGTGGAGTCTTAGCCACTGGACCACCAGGGAAGTTGGCCCTCTTTCTTAATGGTGACTTTCACTGCCATAATGGTGAGAAAGCTTTTTCCCATCCTCAAATTATAGAATTATTTTCTTGTCTTAAGAACTCTTTTACATTTAACTTTAATCCATCTATAATTTATTTTAGTTTATACTGTTAGGTTAGGGTCTAAACTGACATTTTCCTCCCAATTTTCATGTGTTGAATAATTCTTTCCCCTTCTCCACATATTAGTGATGCCCTATTTTAAAGTTATGAAGAGACACTACACCTCTTCTACCTATAACACGCTACACTAAAAAACTTTGGCACTCTCCTCCATCCCGAAAGTGTTCTCAAAGTCCTTCTCATAACTTCCACTTCGTACAGTCCTTCCTATAACTCCAAGAGCCACTGCCAATCAACTGGAGTTTGAACAAAACCTATATATTGGGTTGGCCAAAAAGTTTCTTCGGTTTCTAAGTAAAAATAAAAGACACATTTTTCATTTTCACCAAGAACTTTATTTAACAACATATTCACCATTTTGTTCCACTACCTTCTGCCATTTTTCAGGCAACTTCGTAATTCCGTCTTCCCAAAACCTTTTATCTTTTTGATCAAAGAACTGTTCCAGGTGCCATTTACAGTCTTCCAGGGAACTGAAATATTTTCCATTAAAAGAATTTTGTAAAGACCGAAATAAATGGAAATCCGAAGGGGCAATGTCTGGTGAATATGGCGGATGAATCAGAACTTCCCAGCCAAGCTGTAACAGTTTTTGCCTGGTCATCAAAGAAACATGTGCATTATCCTGAAGGAAGATTATGCGTCTTCTGTTGACTAATTCCGGACACTTTTCGTCAAGTGCTGCTTTCAGTTGGTCTAACTGGGAGCAGTACTTGCTGGAATTAATCGTTTGGTTTTCCAGAAGGAGCTCATAATAGAGGACTTCCTTCCAATCCCACCATATACACAACATCCCTTCTTTGAAGACCGGCCTTTGGTGTGGTTGGTGGTGGTTTTTATTTCGCTTGCCCCACGATCTCTTCTGTTCCACATTATTGTACACTGTCCATTTTTCATCACCCATCACAATTTGTTTTAAAAATGGAATGTTTTCATCATGCTTAAGGACAGAATTGCATGCAGAAATACGGTCAAGAAGGTTTTTTTTCCACTTAACTTACGTGGAACCCAAACACCAAAGCAATTAACATAACCAAGTTGGTGCAAATGATTTTTGATGCTTGATTTGGATATTTTGAGTATGTTGGCTATCTCCTGCATGGTATAACATTGACTGTTCTCAATTAATGTCTCAATTTTACCGCTATCAACTTCAACTGGTCTACCGGACCGTGGAGCATCGTCCAGCAAGAAATCTCCAGCACAAAACTTCACAAACCACTTTTGACACGTTCGATCAGTCCCAGCACCTTCTCCATATACTGCACAAATCTTTTCTTTGCATTTCAGTTGCATTTTTACCCTTCTTGAAATAATAAAGCATAATATGCCAAAAAAGTTACTTTTTTTCTTCCATCTTCCGTATTAAAATGGCTACACAAAAATTCACCAATTTTGAGGTCTTTTTTTAACACACACTGATATGATAGCTGTCATAATACAATCTAACAAAATTGTTTCAAATGAAGTAAAAGACAACTAAGCGCTACTAGAGCCAGCTTACGGGAAACCGAACGAACTTTTTGGCCAATCCAACAATAATGGCAATACATGGATTCCCCTCCCACCCCCGGATTTCCACTAAGCTATAATAATCTAAATGTCTAGGGACCTCCCTGGTGGTGCAGCGGTCAAGAATCCCCCTGCCAATGCAGGGGACACGGGCTCCTGGTCTGGGAAGATCCCACATGCCACAGAGCAACTAAGCCCGTGCGCCACAACTACTGAGCCTGCACTCTACAGTCCGTGAGCCACAACTACTGAGCCCACATGCCACAACTACTGAAGCCCACGCACCTAAAGCCCATGCTCCGCAACAGGAGAAGCCACCGCAACGAGAAGCCCGCGCACCACAACAAAGAGTAGCCCCCACTCACCGCAACTAGAGAAAGCCCGCAGGCAGTAATTAAGACCCAGCGTAGCCAAATAATAAACTAAAAAACACACAAAAAAGTCTATATGTATACGAATAATCTGATTTAACTGTTACAGTTTTATAGTATATGTTGTCATATCTAGGAGGGCTAGTTCACCTCCTTATTCTCTACAAAATACACTGTCAGGAAAAACAGAAAATTTTGAAATAGGCTCCCCTGCCCATGCACTCTCCCCCCCCACACCCCCGCCATTTACCGAGTCTTGATTAGGGCACTCTTCAGAAACTTATCTACCTAAATGATGTGTTTGAGCTATTTACAATTCTGTAAAGTGTACTTCTATTTAGGAGCAATACTGACAGAGATACAACTATGTATGTGCCTTTGACTTACAAGGAAAAGAAGTAGTTTTTTGATGATCCCTGAATCCCTTTACACTCTTAGGACTTATTCAGGACCCCAAAGGGCTTAAAAGCACTAATACATAACACATCAGAATTGAAAATTAAGAAATTTAAAAAATACTCATAGACTTATCTGAAGGTGAACAAGAACAAAGGCACTGCATGTTAACACAGATAACAGTACTAACATGAAAGTCATTCTAACCTCATGAACCCTATGACACAATACCACTGTCCTTGAGCAACTATCAGCTGGTTCCACAATACGGAAGAACATAACTGAAGATACAACATGGTAAGTGACTTTTATTTTCCTTGGTTTATACTTGATTCTGAAATAAGTTATACAATATGTTAAAATCTTAGCAAAGTTCACTCAATTTTGAAGGGTGTGCTCCCATGCCTTCACCTATGTTATTTTTTTACTTTTGTGTAATCTGCCAAAGAGCAAAAATTCTGTGTTTTACTAGAATAATTTTCTATACCTGATGTTGATTTTATTTGTTTTTCATTATTTAAGTGGAAAAAAAAGAACAAAGACTCCTCACTTATGAATAAGCTAAAGTTCTTTTCAATTACCATTTACATTTATTTTGAAATGTTTTATTGTCACTTCAGTAAAATAGGTAACCAAGTATTATTTCTCAAGCATCAAAGGTTACATCTTTTAATAAAGTGTTCCAATCTCCCCTCACAACTTTTTTGATTTTTGTCTTCCTGTTATGGGCTGAATTGTGTCCACCCCTGCCCCCAAATTCATATGTTGAAGCTGTAATCCTCAGTACCTCGGAATATGACTGTATTTGGAGATCGGACCTTTAGAGAGGTGATTAAGGTAAAATGAGGCTGTTAGGGTGGGGCCCTAATCCAATATGCCTGCTGTCCTTATAATAACAGGAAGAGACACCAGCAACACAGGCACACACACAGAGAAAAGGTCACATGAGGACACAGCAAGAAGGTAGCCATTTGCAAGCCAAGGCTTCAGAAGAAACCAAACCTGCTGACAGAGTGATCTTAGACTTCTAGCTTCCGGAACTGTGAGAAAATAAATTTCTGCTGTTTAAGCCACCCAGTCTGTGGTATTTTGTTATGGCAGCCCTAGCAAACTAACACACTTCGCCGAATCAGATCCTAAACTTAGGAAAATAAAACTTCCAAGATACTTTCTATGTGTTAGTGAAAATATCTTTGAGATTTCCCAGAGAGGCTATGGAGAATCAAAATGATTTGTCCTTTCAACATATAAGTAGAGATGCTAGAAATAATTAAGTTTATTTGATGTGTTACTTTCTAAAGGTTGCATGGGAAGAGTTGTCAAATCAGAAGACACTTAACCTTCCCTAGGTTAAATTTATATGGTAAAATTAATATAAATATTTCACCTCTCTAAATTAATAAAGATATTTCAAAAATGTAATTACTATAAAAATTTCTAATTTATATGGTAATATAAAAATTTCAAAAATTAATATATTTCAAAAAGTGTTTTATGAGAAGTCCATGGAGATTCACCAATGTCCTTGCTTACCATATGTTTAAATATGAAGGGAAACATTATTCAAAACTCTTATGAAATAGTTCTGTCAAGTTTTCCTGTATTTATAAGAGTTCTGGCGGTACAGTGCTGTCTGTCCTAATGTCAGGTTTCGTTCCCCCAATTTCAGTTATTATTGAATCTTTATTTTATTCACATCTATCATCTTCTAGGCCAGTGATTTTCAAATGGCGTTTTATAAAAATATAGATGTCTAAACTTGATCCCTGACTTACTGAATCTCTTTACTTGATATTCTTGGTGTTATTCCTGGTACATTAGGTCTCAGGATTATCATATTATATCTCAAGATTTTTTTCAACTGTAAAAGGTTATACTCATTCATATTCATAAATCAGATGTAAGGAATCACTGACTTCTTTGAGAACAGGCTTAATCATCATCTTTAGAAACATTCTTGTTTAAAAACCTTTTTGGAATACAGGCATAACTTGCTTTATTGTGCTTCACAGATACTGTGGTTTTTACAAATTGCTGATTTGTGGTAATTGATGATTTGTGTTGTCAGATGATTGTTAGCATTTTTTAGTAATAAAGTATTTTTAATTAAGATATAATATGTACATTTTTTAAAGAAATAATGCTACTGCACACTTAACAGGCTACAGAATAGTGTAAACGTAACTTTTACATGCACCAAGAAACCAAAAATTTTATCTGACTCACTTTATTGTGGTATTCTGGAACCAAACCACAGTATCTCCAAAACATGCCTCTAATGTGTTCTCCATGTCACAGAAACAACCAAATTTCCTTGTCAACTGTATTTATTCTTATTATGAACCCTCGTCATATCTTTCCACTTGACAATTATCAATAATAAATAAGCCATAGTCATCTTAAGCCTCTTTCATCTATTGACTAGTTTTTGTTTTATTCTGATGCTTGTCTGAAGGCCTTCCTATAAGCTACAGGCCAGAGTTTGTACTTTCAACAAAGAAGGATAGTCTCAGAGCCCTGTGAAAAGGACTGTACCTGTTATTTGAAACCACTTATACATCAAAGAATAGATACTTGGGTACAGGCTTCTGAGGAGACGTGGCTTAGAGAACTTTCAAAAGACACCAGTGGACTACATTAGGATTTCTCATATATTTTTTTAAGCTGATAAGCAGTTTTATGAAACTGACAATCCAAGATCCATAATGTTTAACTTTGCTTTAATTTTCTGTTTTCTGGATCTCCCTTATAGGGAGTCATTTCTCCTTCTTCTAAAGCAATCTAATTCACATCAATTTTGTAAACTCTGCTTTGGTACGCTGAAACGAAATGTTAAAGAACATTTCTCTTCTCCCTTCAGCTTGCCAGTATCTCCCGGAAAGGAGCTTATATCCTCTTCTAAGGCCCTGATTTTTGCAGCTGCCATTCAGGGCACACCTCTAGATCACCTGACTCTGGGGGCCAGCGGGGGATTATGCTCAAGGGTCCCACAGGACTAAAACCAATGGACAAAGAGTTCTTAACTGACTACCATCCCAGGGCACAGCAAGAGGCAACAGACTGAGGTGCCCAATCTTTCTGTAGAAGAGGATTATTAGTTTACCTAATACAGCTTTGGCCTAAGAGGCAGGCTTCTAATTAAACCCACATCAAAGGGCCTGTTGTAATCCTCTCAGAGATCTCAGAAGGAGGGCCTTATCTTTGCAACATCCCTCTGCTGTACTCCAGAACATCCATTTCTTCCATAGGGGACCTCGTATTCCCATCTGGTGTCCCCATTTTTGTGGCTGCCACCTAACTGATGCCCCTTGATTGCCTGGTTCTGGTGGACAGCTGGGCTTGTATCCTGGGTCCCACGGGACTGTAACAACTGGAGAGACAGTTTTTGGTTGGCTACCACCCCCAGTGCACAGCACAAACAACAAACAGAAACATACCCCAGTTTTCTGCGAAAAAGACCTATCTGCTTGTCCTGGAGCTTTGGCCTAAGGTTTCTACACCTCTAGCAACCTACTGAGGTGATCTTTGGGGATGAAAGCTGGTGGATGCCATCTTTGTGCTCTCCCTCTACCTTGCGTTAACTTGCCAGTATCTCCTGGAAAGGAGCTTGTACCCTTAGCTGGTGCCCTGATTTTCACAGCTGCCACCCAAGGGACACCTCTAGGTTGCCTAGTTCTGGCAGCAGTGTGACTTTCTCTTGCAGTCCCACAGGATAGATATACATTTGCATACTTAAAAGCTACTGCCTGAGGGTCTGGCCTCAATCAGCTTGAATTTAGGTATTGCTGAAATTCTCCCCTTTGGGATACTGACAGGTCTTGGCACATTCTCAACTGAGAGCCACTTAAAATAATATAGACTGTTTGGACATTAACAAAGATTTGAGAGACAATCAAGAGTGAGGGCAGGGTTGAACTATATCACAACACTACAGTAATCAAAACAGTATGGTATCAGCATTAAAAACAGACATAGAATACAGAGCCCAGAAATAAACCAATGCATATATGATCAATTTATTTAAGACAAAGAAGCTAAGAATACACAGTGGGAAAAGGACAGTCTTTTCAATGAATAGTGCTGAGAAAATTGGACAGCCACATGCAAAAGAATGAAACTGGACCACTATCTTACACCATACACAAAAACCAACTCAAGAGCTTCCCTGGTAGTACAGTGGTAAAGAATATGCCTGCCAATGCAGGGGACACGGGTTCAAGCCCTGGTCCAGGCAGATCCCACATGCTGCGGAGCAACTAAGCCCGTGTGCCACAACTACTGAGCCTGCACTCTAGAGCCTGCAAGCCACAACTACTGAAGCCCGCGCACCTAGAGCCCGTGCTCTGCAACAAGAGAAGCCACTGCAATGAGAAGCCCGTGCACCACAACGAAGAGTAGCCCCGCTTGCCACAACTAGAGAAAGCCCGCACACAGCAACGAAGACCTGATGCAGCCAAAAATGATAATAAAAATAAATAAATTTATTAAAGAAAAACTAACTCAAAATGGACTAAAGACTTGAATATATGACCTAAATCATAAAACTCCTAGAAGAAAACATAGGCAGTAAGCTCCCTGACAACAGTCTTGAGGATGATTTTTTGGATTTAGCACCAAAAGTAAAAGCATCAAAAGCAAAAATAAACAAGTAGGAC